AAAAAAAAAAAAAAAAAAAAAAAGCTCACCAATTTTGATAAAATGATTAAAAAAGTAGCTAGACAATTTTTCAATCACCCCAAGGGGCAGTATTATTTCTCTACCCTTCTCGCTCAAATTGTCCTGTTACATGCACCCCCCCCTCATCAACATAAAGAGGGAAAAATAAATCACACATTTGTAAACATAGTAAAGTTGCGCACAACTGTTAAGTTGCTTCGAAGGAGATATTCGTGTGGGCACAATTTTATGTGAGCGTCTTTTTCTGTTTTGGGGGCTTAACGTGCGCACGTTGGATTATACCCCGAAAATGATGTGACAACACTTCCCAGGGGGGACACCCTGCCTTTTAAACCGTGTCGCCTCAAGCATGTTTCGTCAAACGTTCATACAGTGGGTGGGTCATAACTGAGTTTAGCGGGAGCGGTACTGTGAAGGAGTACTCCGAAGCAGCACTCCTCAGACTTAAATGCGCATCTGCGCGGATGCTTGAAGGAGAAGACATCACGCCCCGCCAAGCATGCCGCGCAGACGCTGCGCGACGCTCTGCCGCAACTGCGGGTCCGTGAAGTAGCAGGCGGCGAATTCGTAGATGTCGTCCGGCTTCTCCCTGAGCAGGTCGCACACAAAAATGTGAATCAGGTATTTTAAAACTTTATTTCTCTTCAAATAAACTTCATTTTGTAAAACCTTGTTTATTTTGAAGTGGTTGACTTTTTCTTTCTGTTCCTCCGATAAGTCAAAGAGGGTGATTAATTTTTTGTGTTCTCTTTCCTCGTTCACTTCCTTCTCAAAGGTGATTTGTTCGCACGTGCCTGGAAAAGGGGGGGGAGCTTCCCGTTCGTATTAGCACCGCTTATTCACCTCGTCATGCAGCGACACTCAATCATAGCAAACGCGTCCAAATCACCGCGTGTATATCACCGCGTCCACCTCACCGCTGCGCACGTCTTACCTCCCTCCCCCGCGGGCCGCCTGCTCAAGTCGTTGGTTAAAAAGTACGAGGGCTCTATCTTCTGGAAGTCCAACACGGAGCGCGTAAAATTTGCATTCATAGACGTGGGGAAGTTTACTAGCCTCCTGTGGGTTTCATTTTGTAACTCTGCACCCAGGCCTGTCCTTTCGTTACTCTCCGGGCCTCCAAAATTTAACAGCTCAGAATCGTCTTCCTGGAACATTTTTCCCTTTTCACTTGTGGGGGATTGTGTGCAAGTGGTAGACACGTACCTGACTGTTCAGAAGGGCGGGAAAATGAATAAAAAAAAGAAAAGAAAAGAAAAATCAGATATATCGTCACGGTATGTTCTTCATTTATCTCCCCACATGGTGATCTTCCAAAAAGGGGCGACTTCGGAGGAGGCATTTCCCCTCCGCGTTGCGAAAAAGCAAAAAAAAAAAAAAAAAAAAAAAAAAAAAAGGTGCAAATGATGCGCTGCAAAGAAGTCCAAGCGACCCTGTAGAGCCCTTTCAATGGTTGAGAAGGGACGGCCGATGGAGATCCCTGAAGAAAAATAAAAAAAGGGAGCTCAGTTTATAATATTCTTCACCCAGGTGAACTTTAAAAAGTAAGCTTGAGGACAAGTTGATAGTGCTGGGTGAGGACATAGGGGGTTACGCAAAAAGGGAGAAAAATGGTAGTAGTACTAGTATAGTAAATAATGGACATACGCATATCGGTCACATCAGCCTCGAATATGCTCATCAACTGGGGGAGTACCCATTAAAAAAACAAAAAAATAAAAAATAAAAAAAATTAAAAAATTAAAAAATTAAAAAATTCCCCGAAAAGGTCATCATCATCATCATCATCACTGGGGGCCATTTTGGGCCATTTGGGGATGCCAAGCGGGATGGAGATGCAGACAGGACGGCCCTAAGCATGTTCCCCAGGAGAGCCACTAAACTGGATCACTTATATTTAACTCCTCCTCGTCCTCCGCTTCGTTCTTGCGCTTGCCGCGTCTGCCTTCTCCCTCATGGATAGCTCTCTCCCCCTTGGGCCAATTCGCAGCGCGCTCTCCGTCCTGCCAAGTGACTCTATTATAAGTCTTAAAGTTTAGAATGAACATCTTGAGCAGACTTGAGATGATCCACTCATCCAGTCGGTCAAAAAATGAAATCAATATATGAATGTACATGTGTGTATGTTGCAAAATGGACTGAAAGACATCCTTCGTTATTTTAAAAAGAGAGCAAAGAACGGAAGTGGTTGTTCCCTTCAAATACAGAAACAGAAAAATGGACAGATACAACTTATTATGTTTCCTCTCCACTTTATCGTCTTCAAAATATTTTCTCTTCCTTGAAAATAAATTATTATGATTCTTCAAGGCTAGCATGTTGATCATGTCGTAATCAAATTTTAACACGTGAAAAATTATGTACTTGGTGTAATTGTCTGAACAGACCATAGCGATTAAATTTTTCAGCAGAGGGAGGTAGTAGGAAAAGGAAGCAATATTCAAATTATGTGTGGAACAAATGTAACACAGGTGAAAGCTCCGGTTGAACAGGTATAACCGGTCATAATTTTTTACTTCAGATAATAATTCGTATCCAAAGGATACACTGAAATTACTAACACATAAGGATCTGCAAAAGTTTGTGAGGTGGAATTTTCTTCGGTTACTATCCACCTGAACACACTTGTAATCTATTAGAATGTTTAGGACGGCGTGTATTTGCTCCTTTTTTGCTTCGTAAAAGATGCGTTCACTGGGGGTGAAGTTTTCTTCATCAACTTCGAGGGGGCACCTGGTGGACGCCCTTACTTCCGTTTGACCCCCCTTCTGTCGTGAGTCCGCGCCGAGCGCCTCGCGCTGGGGGGGATGCGCGCTGTTTTTGCCACACGCATTAGCAGCCGCTTGGCAAGCCGATTGGCCAACCGATTGACCGCCCGAAATGGCAACCGCATTGGCAACCGCTTCACCATCCCATGGGCCATTCCACTGATCAGCCGCCTTTCGAGGGGAAGATGCCCTAGTGAGTGCCTCCCTCGCCAGCGCCACCTCTGTAAAGCACAGCGAGAAAGACAGCATCATAACCACGTCGCGCACAGACATGGGTCGAGAATCCAACAGACACAGGAATTCAATTATGTACTTTTCCATCTCATCTAGCGAACTGCCATCATTCATGGTGCTCCTAATATTCGTGCAATTCTCCTGAAATATTTGAAGCATTTTTTTTTCATATTTCTTATCCACGAACAGAAAGGAGTCTCCCTGCTTCTCCCTGGCCGCCCTGCCAATCATCTGCTTATACTGTGTGACGTTTAAAAAGTTCTGGGCGATAAAAGGGGATGATATTAAAACCCGATCCACAAATAGGTTGAGCCCAACAGACAGAGTCGATGTGCAGGTCAGCAAGAAGAGCGTCTTCTCCTTGTAAGCCACCTCAATCAGTCGCTTAATCGAGTTTGAAATGTCACTGTAGTAGTAACAGATCCCATTGGCCACTAACTTGCTCATGGTACTGTGTGCGTATCTATCCAGTTGACGAATTTTTTCATTCAATTTTTCCCTCCTCAGTTGCACTTCCTGCGGGGTGTCATCCACAGGGAAGGCACAAAAGTACTGATTAATCAACCGGACATAAATTTCGCAATTTTTTTTCGTAGAGCAAAAGATAAGAGTATTTAATTTGTTTACTCGACTGTGTAAGGAAAAGCAGAGGAGAGAATTGATGAGGTTGTTATTCACTGAAAGGTTCCTCATCTTCAAAAAATTCGCAATATTATTTTTTGTATTCTGATAAAACATACTTATTTCGTCACTCAAATTACACCTCTTCACAGTCTTAACACTTTCTACTTTATACAAACACCGTAGCTTCCCTTGTTCATCAGGCATGTCTTTCCATGATTGATGAAAATCATATACGTTGCACAGGTAAGAAAAGGGATAGCCTTCTTTCTTCTTCTCCTTTCTATACACACCACAGTTACAAATATAATGCTCTGTTATCTCTTGGGGACGTCTATAAGGGGAAATATATATTTTGGCATTCATCCATCTTTTTAAAGTAGGAAAATTATTCAAAGTCCCACTCATGCATATAATCTTTATCCTTGCTTCCTTTTTGTTCAGGTACATAATTTTCGATATAATATTTTCTATATAAATTCCTCTTCCCTTTTCACTGATCAGATGGAACTCATCAATAACAACGATGAAGTTGTGTGAGGGGTATCTTCCTGGGGTGGTAGTAATTCCTTGGGGTGACCAATTTTCCCCATCCATACCCCCATCCATCCCTACCTCTTGACTTTCAAATTTACTCTTATTCAAATAATTATTCATTCTTTCGTAAGTACATAACACAATGTCATTTTGTGCAAAATCAATACCCACCTTGATGTCTGTCCCCTTGCATAACTTCCTTAAATAACTCATCTTTTCATGTATTAGCGAATTGAGGGGAAATAGGAAAAAAGTCTTTTCCGTCCTGTGCATTTGCTCAAAGGCAAATATTTCAGTTACCAGAGTTTTACCACCTGATGTTGGAGCAACGAAAATGAAACTTTCCCCCTCTTCCCATCTAACCGTTCTCATCTGATTTAAACATTCTACCTGCCAGGGATATAACTCCTTTATCTGCTCCTTTCTGTAGTTGTCTATGATGGCTTTCTTTATGCAATATGTGTGCAACTGTTGAGAGCCACACTCTGGCGGTTTCCCCAAACGGTCTCCTTCCACATGTTGCTTACTACTCAAGGGGGGACGACACTCCTGGTGGCTACTATGCTTGTGCACCTTGCTTTCTGTCCTAATCACTTTTGCGTGATCGCTCATTTCGCGGCTTGTTTTTTTTTTGTCCAGCAGATTTTGCAGGTTTGCGATCCAATTCACGTTCATTTAGCAGACGTTGCGAACGTGAGGGGGGGGGTTGCGGGTGGCGTGGCACGGCGCGCCTGATCGGATGTGCTGCCTTACACGTTGTGTGTGTATTATATATACGCGGCATGTGCTTATACCTGTGTGTATGTTGTGTGCTTAGGTTTATATATGCGGACACGTACGTACCTCGGCGAAGTTGACTTGTGTGTGCTCGGCCAGTTGGACAGTTGGCCATTCGGCTATTCGGCCTTTTGACCCCTTCGCTCTTTTGCGCGGCTGGCCCTTTCGCGCCGTGGCGGGCCCAAGCGACTCGACTACATTGCAAATCCGATTAAGTCACTCGGCGTCCTTGAAAAAAAAAAAATGTACACATTCGCGCTTTACATTTGTATCACTACGCAAAGGAGTTTTTCTTTTTTTTTTTTTTTTTTTGCGAAAGTTGTTAATACTTTTCGTTCTCGTGAATGACGCGCGGGGAAAAGTGACTACTATTACTTTTACGATATTGTTTGCGTTTTAATTTTTGGCTTTGTTTTTCACACTATTTTGCTTTTTACTTTGCAGCTTATTTTGCTAATTATTGTGCGCTTCACATTCCATCACTTTGCTGCGTCTTCACAAGTTCCACTTCATCTTATATTACTCATTTTTTTGTTATTTTCCCCCCGTCGCTCATTTGGCTGCGCCGCCTTGCCTATTCATTCATGCCGGAACAGGGGAAAAAACGAGAACACTACGTGGTGTGAACGTGCCGTTTTCGCCAGTATTCTCTGTTCAACCAGATCGGAATGGTTACTCTTAGATAGATTGAACAAGGAACAACGGATCGTCTACCCGTTGGAAAACTTTTCACACTTCACAAAATTTAACAAGTCCAAAATGTTCTGAACAGGACATGTATTTTTTTTTTTTTTATTTTATTTTGGCTAGTTGAATAAAAAAGCTAGAAAAAAAAAAAAAAAAAAATATACACACACACCAATTGTGCAAGCATGGACGAGGAGCGAAATGAACATGCGAATGACAAAGGTTACAATTTAAAAACAGGTGCGCGTATACAAGCGTATGTATATAAAGCGCGCGTGTAGGTGTACTGATGGGCGCACGAATATATATGCCTAAAATGTTGCAGCACCACTTTAGCATGTTCCCTCCTCACTGACTTCCCTTGGTGTGTGCATACCAAGTCGACATGTCTCCGCACAAACCGCAGTAGACACCATGCGAATTGTTGATCTTGTCATTCCTGAAGGAGGGAGGGACTTCCCTTCGAATTGCGCCTTCTTCGGGTGCTTATCGCAAAGCAGGGGTTAAGGGGCACAAAAAAAAAAATAAAGTAATAAAAAATAACAAAATGAAACACCCCGCTGGCGCACCCTCCTCTGTGCAGAAGACAAACTCGTCACAAACGTTGTCTCGCATGAGTCTGTTACTCATGTTGTATACAGGCAACGAACAGTTCTGCGAGCTCCCATCACCACCCTCAAATGCGTGCACGGCGACTTGCGCGCGAACGGTTTATTTTGTCCACAAAAGGGGTGTGTACCCTCCTGGCTACGAATATCTGTGCAGTTTTGTTTTTTTTTTTTTTTTTTTTAATAATATTTTTTCCCACCCGCCACACACACGTTCCCCCCCCTTTAAACACATGCATACTGTCCGTCGTAGAAATGCAAACCTTCTTAAACGAAATAGAAGATCTTGTTAACGAAGGAGAGGTGAAGAGAAACTTTAACGAGGCGGAGGAATTGATGGTCAACACGTGTAAAGAGTTAATCGAGAAAAAAAAAAAAAACAGCAATTCCCCAATTCACGAAAAAATAAAATTATTCCTCGAGGAAGTCAATTTTATTAATTACACACTTGACCAATATGCCAAGGAGAGCCAACGTAGAAAAGAAATTTCAGACAGTGAGAAGGGACAACTGGGTCAGCTTCTATTATCCCAGGGGGACAATTTCCCCTCCAAGGAGCAGGACGAAATTTTGAAGGATCTAGTTTTTTTGGAGCTAGGCTTGAAGGAGACTTCTCCAGCTGTGGGCGAGGTAAGGCACAAGAGGGAAAGTGGTCTGAATGCTAGGAGAGGTTAAAAGCATACATGATGTCTTCACATGTCTGCCTGTTCCTTTATAATATGTGACTTTTTTCTGCATGCCAATTGGATGTCCCCTTTATTTGTACTTCACTCGTACTTCACTCCACCTCATCATTACTTACCATCCCGCATAGACCAAAAAACTGCTGCTACTAATTAGCGAGAATTTTGAAAAAATTGAAAACAAGGAATTCGTGCTGACCACGGAAAAGGCTCTGGACATACGAATCGTAATTTGCAAAATGAAACGAAATGAAAATGATTGGAAGAGGACGATACAACCAGCATACCTCTGTCCATGGGGGTACACACCTGCGCAGGCGGGAAAGGTCGACATAAGACTAACCGAATCGTGTTCCCATGTTTTTTTTCCTCCCCCACCTTTCCATGCAGGATGACTTTCGAAGGAACGAAATAAGTGAAGATTATTTTTCCAAAAGGATAAGTCAGATACACGCGGACACGGTGGTAATGGGGCACTGCTGTGAGAGTTTCTGTGTTATTTATTTTATTATTTTTTTTTTTTTTGCCGCCCCCATTTGTCCCGCAGGCGCAGTATGGGCAAGGCAGCAGACACGCTCCGCCACTGCCACTACCACTACCACTACCGCGGTTGCATTATATGACTTTTTTTTTTTTTTTCCCCCTGTTAGAACCAACTGGCACGTGAACTAGAAGAGAAGGAGAAGAACTCAACGACCACATGCCGGGAAAACACATCAAAGGAGGGTGCAGAGAATAATGCACATGACGAACTCTCCAAGGTGAATTTAACTGTGGTATCTTCCATGGAGCGAGACGCCGGTGAAACTGCCACAGAAGGGGGGACACTCTCCAATGCTACCTTCCCTCGAAATGACAAGTCAGGAGAGGTGAAATGTACAGGTATGAAAGGAGTAAGGTGTGCCGTTGTTATCGCTCTACAATCTTTATGGGGTGTACTTTTGGTGGAGGGAGGGAGAGTCTGCTCCATAGCGCCGCTCCCTCAACTACGTCTTTGTTCTCATCACAGCCACACTCTGCTCTTCTACTATATACCCTCCTCCTTCAGCGCAAACACCCAACTTGGGGGGAAGAAGCAACACTAGGCGGAAAAGCCGAAATGAGCAAAAAATGGTCCATTCGAATTTCTTCCACAAAAAAAAGGTACTTTGTTACGAGAGTGCGCTGTGTGTGTGTGCTGTTCGTGTGCACTTGTCCGTTTCTACCCCATAGCGCCATCCCTACAAACGCTCTCAGATGAAGCTCATGGAGCGCTGGCAGAAGGTGGCCGAAGAATCTAAGCTACAGAATGACTCGCACTCGGACTCCAGTTGTTAAGATAATTTTATTTCTTGAAGCACGCTGATTTGGCTTCCACACAGTACAAAAAATTTGTGCTTGGCACCCTGCGGGTTGAAGTGGCAATGGCACACGTGTGCACACGCCGGTTTTGCGGCGGCGTGTCGGTTTAGGCAGCGACGTGCCTGTTCTGGAAACAAGTTCATTTGCTTCATTTTATTTTGTTTATTCATTATTTTTTCCCTCATTTTGTTTCATTTTATTTTTTTTATTGCGGGCCCGCTTTGTAACCCCAGGGGTTCCGTCGCACGTTTGACTTTTTGACCAAGTTGAGTTCTCCGCACATTGGCAATTTTTTTTTGTATATGGAGGCTTTTCCCTACCCCGCGCCATTTCGTACCATTTCGTACCATTTCGTACCATTTCGTACCATTTCGTACCATTTCGTACCATTTCGTACCATTTCGTACCATTTCGTACCATTTCGTACCACTTCGTACCGTTTCGTACCACTTCGTACCGTTTCGTACCACTTCGTACCGTTTCGTACCACTTCGTACCGTTTCGTACCACTTCG